ATATAAGTTTTAAAAGTATCCCGCTTAGTTCTAGTTTCTTTGAAATAAGCATGCAATGTTATCTTTACTTTATGAATGTGCTCTGCTAAGTTTCATTCTAAGGACATTATTCACAAAGCAATTTTGTTACTTGCAACTTAAGACATTAATTAAATTATATACACTGAAATTATAGTTTGTATATGTTACGTACCAGTGACTTACAACTTATATATATATATATATAACAGTGTGATGTATTGAATTGTAAAGTAAGAAGTAGGTATGTAAATTATAACGAAGTATAAAAAATATTTGGAATCCTTAATCATTCTTTTCATCCTTTACTGCAGATGGATGTATGAAGGAAAAAAACTTTGATAAGCTTCCTTCTTACATCAGATAAAGTGCAGCAATATATTTTCAGTAAGCACTGATAACTTGAACCGTATAAGGAAATATAATATAAGTCCAACAAATAAAATGTACTAAGTCTCAATTTATAGTTTACGAGATATAAAACACGTAATAAAATAACCAATTATTGTGAGAAATGCGTTATACATAACTGATACTCTAAAGATAATACTACAAAGTCAACGTCCCTACTTAGTTTAGTGACTGGAAGTAGGGCAGCAGATCGTAATATTCTAAGTTCGTCTCCGGAGTCAAGTCAAAATTGTTACTGTATAGGTATTTCAATCGTGAAATATTCAATACCAACCCAAAGTCGGGAAGTTGTGTACGATAAAGAATATGAGAGTGTAAGAAATAGAAAGTGCACTAATTGTATCTCCGCACACACTTTTATAGTTGGCTATTCTAAGACTGTAAGATCGGCCACAGCTGACACCAAAATCAGTTATTGTTACTATAGACCCACACTTAAATTTCATAGACTCTCACTAAAATACATTTTATTCATGCATTTCTATAATAGAAGTTAGGTTTCAACATGGATCAATAAACCTTTCCAGGTTGTGATAATTTTGAAAACAGCACAGTTAAAACTAAAACAAGTCTGCGAGAATAGTCCAATAACCTATATAAATGGAGCAAACGTAAACACAAACAACACAAGGACAAATGTAAATTTAAAACATAAATTGTGCCAAATATTGATTTAAATGTTTTATAAAACTTTAATAATAATATTTTAGAGGATCCTACATAATTGTTTGAATTAAAACATAATATTTGAGATGGTTATAAGTAAATAGGCAGAGATCCTATCCTTGAAGTCGAACAGATGTCGGTATAATCTGTTATTAAATTATATAATTTATAAGGTGTTATGAATGAAATAATAAAAATATCCTTCCGCGGAATGGATAATCTGGTGGACCCTACGCCAAAAATCCTTTTGTTATCTCTGAGTTATTTTTCAGAGAGTTTGAATTTGCCAGACAAAGCGAGGCGCATATTTCAGCCCTCGTAATCTCGTTTTAGTTCGCGAAGGCTTACGCAAGTTTTTTTTCTGTTGAACGCGTTAATTCCACTTGATGTATAGCATTCGGACCTACAGTAGCTGCAATTAGATTCCTAATGGGTGTTGTTACTTAATAGGGTAATTTGTTCAATAAAATTTAAATGTTTAGAGGCAGTTTTACACATCTATTTAGAGCTGACATAATAATTTTCATGTACGCCGTACTATATATGTATGTCTACTCATATATTTTAATCTGTTATAAGCTTACAATTTATTAAATAAAGAAAATATTTAACATCTAAAATGTACACATTTTATTCAATTCATTCAATCACAGTCAGGTTTACAATTTACGTCTTACAATAGATTTCGATCAAACGCGAAACCTTTAGTAGGACTGTAATGCCAAGTTCATTATTACAGGGTAGGCCTTAGGGTAAAACATGCAATGTCATCTATACATATATATAATAAAATTGTAACTGAGCCGAATCTGTACATTAAATATTTTTTTACTATATTATTATTAAAATAGCTAATACTAAGAATATAGAGGCCAAATCTACATTTTTTTTTAATTTTTGTCTATCTGTCTGTAACCGCATGCCGGGAAAAGCACTGGACGGATTTTGGTCACTAGATGTCGCCATCTGTTTTTAAAATACGTAATTTTAATTCCGAAAAAAGTATATATACAAATATGATTTTGTTAGAATTATATCGACATTTTATCGATCAAAAAAAGAAGTTTGTGTTTCATATTATATTCTTTTTTTTACTATTATAAAAAACAAAGTTTGAGGTAGCTAAACTGACAAAGCCGGTGACTGAAAATATTCCTTATCTCTAAAACTATGGTATAAATATATTCTGAAAAGCAATTTCCGTTAAAAGATTTTGGAAGCTCCGCTACCTTAATTATTATTTAGATTCTTTTGACACCATTTCTTGAAAGATAAAGAAGAAACGTTTATTTTTTAAGCACTACACGTAAGCATACGACTTTATTTATACAGCTAAATGAAATGACGAAAAATTTGCGTAAAAACATTTACCTTATTTATGTACTTCTGAAACTGTCACTTTTTGCCCGATTTTTTTATTTGATGATGAGAATTAAATTAAAAATCGTCGGATAGTAATAATGGCACAATTTTAGTATATGGGGCGAGGCCTAGAGGAGTGGGTATATAGGAGTGTATTTTTGGTTAGGGGAGGTGATAGGGAATCCAAATATATAAAAATTATTTTGAAAAAAAAAAACGCTGGAGTCAAAAGTTATGGAGACTTAAAGTTACAACATTTACATATACATTTCTATACCTAAATAAGTCATTACAAAAGATAAACATACCTTTAAAGATTAGTAAACATCTTTTTTCGTGTACAATCCATATTTTCAGAACAATTAAGGCTATATTGAATTAATATTTTATAAATATTCTAAACAAAATGATCTTACATCTTGATGAACTGTCAATTTCTGTTTTAGATACCGCTTTCATGACATAACATATTATCGCTAGTATACCTAATTAGATAAGAGTTATGCATATTAAAAGTGAATATCAAAATAGAAATATGTTGTTTTCATTTCATGCATACATTTACAAGTTTTTATTTGATTTATATAAAATATTAAGCTATATAATGCATTTACATTAGGAAATTAAAAAAAATCCAAACTATTTATTATCTGTGAATACTTTTCAACATTTTTGGCGGGTAGTTAGTTGGGTACGATCTGTTCTCATTAAACGCGTGTTTAGGTTTTCATATCTTTTGACTTCTTGAAGCCACGAAATATAAGAATTGAATTGAATATTTTTTGCTTCATTTAATAGTTATTTTTCTCACATTAATTTCCCTTAATTATTAATTTTTGTTAATATTAAAAATGTTGTTTTTAAACCGAAAATTGGCATGAAATTACAGTGAAAAGCGTATCAAAATGCAATGCGTGTTTTAGAAGAAAGACAAGCGCATTTAAAGACGTTATTTATTATACTATTAAGAGAGAAAAAAATAGTTTTGCATTAACATTGGCTTGGTATTAACGATCTAAAATACGACTTGTTGACCTGTGGATAGTGTATATGACACGAAAACTATGGAAAACTAGTGAATTTCTCTTTTTAACTTTGCTAAGGTGCGTCAGGATAAATGGTTACGAACGAGTAGAGGACAAACATACAAAATTGTTTTGTTTTCAAACCAAACCATTTGCAGGCGTACACAGAATAACTCGTCAATATTTCATCACAATCGGATGAACGGTTCAGGAACTCATAGAGGACAAACATTCAAATAAACATAAAATTTTATTTACATCGAAGACTAAACACATTAAAGAAATTTTATATTCATTTTTAAGCTCTTTATTTTAACAATATTAACAAAAGATCTATTTGAATTTAAGTAGGTAATGTTCATTAACATAATTAAAACACTTGACGTGATAAATATTTATGTTCTAATTTACAATTATTTTAAAGCAATTCTCAAATAGGTATTTCGAGAAAATTTTGGGTGTTTATTTTAAAGGATGGTGCAAAATATAATAACTTTGAAATATTATAATAGTGAACATTAGTTTATGTAAAGATAATTTTATAAACATTTATTTATTAGCTTTTAAATATTTATTATTTAAGGAACTACTTTTTTAATGAGATAGAGTCGTTGTGACATTGCTAACTGCTGCTTTTTTTGATTATTTAAGCTTCCATCACTCCATTAAACTGTTACGTATGGATAACAATAACATTTAAATAACCAAAACACATCTAAAATATCATAATCTCTTAGAAATGTCACGATTCTGAGATACATATTTGGAGGTAATGTTTGGGATATTAGATTGAACTAAATGTAATACCAATACGTACGAATTGCACTACTTTAAAATAATTTCGAAGATTATCATAGGTTTTTTATTAGAATAAAATAAAACTGAAGGCACTATAAAACACATTTAATTTAGCTTTTTATTGCCATGCGGTTTAGTAAAACTTAAAATATTCATTAAATTTGCCTTTTTATCGTTTAAGTGTACTCTATTCTGAAATACCACTTTGGACATGCGCTGCTACTTTAAAAAAAAACTAAATTGCGGGTAGATAATGACAGTTTCCATAGAAAGATATTCTAACCCCTTTAACTTTATTAGAATCGTAAATTAAGATAAATATAATGGCATAATTTTATAAAGGGAAAATTCGTAAAGATTTTCTGAGGTGTAAATTGTGTGATATTTGTGTTTCTATTATATAGATAAAACTTCGTATACAGATAGATCTCGTTTAAGTTTAACGAATATATAATACCTCATATAAATATGAAATCACTACCTCAGTCACCTTACTGAGACCTGATCAATAGGTGACATGCATAATATGTATGATATTGCACGACAAAGCAGAACATTTTTAAGTGAGGAAGATTCCTCAATATTACTAATTTGGTTCATAGATTATGTGATTTAATTATCATCTAAAAATTTGTCGTTGTCAATATTAGATTTCAATTAAACATTGATTTTTGTTACAGGAACTACAAATTGTTACTTACATTATGGAGTCTCAGTCTGATGCTAACCTGCAATGGAGCGGAGATCACTTGCCCAAGCGAGTGCTTTTGCCGCCACACTTTCGACCACGAGGCCGGGAGCTCACTTCGTGTAGAGTGTACGCGGGGTGACATGCAATCTATACCTGTCGACTTCTTGGATCACCAATCAGACGTTGTCATCATCTCTGCTCCCGCCGATCGCCCCAACTATCTAACTATTGGTCCTATTTTTACCCAACCAGTGCCATTCGTCAATTTAAAAGAGTTGCATATTGTCCACTCAAATATACCTTCTATTGGACAGTATTCTTTTTGGGGTCTACAAAATTTAAGAGTCGTAAATCTTACACACAACAACCTTACTAGCATTGGAGCGGACAACTTTCGTGGCTTGATCAATTTAACTGAATTGCATCTTGGATTTAATAATATTGAGCAAATGCCAAGTGAGACATTTCGCCATTTGACAGCATTGAAAATTTTAAGTCTGGCGCATAATCAAATTCCTGCTTTAGTACCCCGTCTCTTTCGGATGCTAGCTAAACTCTCATTTTTAGACTTAAGTTACAATCCTCTAACTGATCTAAATCCTGAGGTGTTTAAAGATATTCAACACCTCAGGATTTTTAAATGCCGACGCTGCTTATTGCGAAGAGTTAATACACAAATTTATCACTTGGTACCACATTTGGATGAATTGGACTTAGGTGAAAATCAATTTAAATATTTGACGTCTGATGAATTCATAAGCTTGAAAAAGTTAAAAAAATTGAAATTGGATGGAAATCAGCTATCAGTTATTGTAGACAATATGTTTGGAAAAAACAAAGAACTTCGAGTACTGTCATTGGCACGCAACCGTCTCGCCCTGTTGGCGCCTGCTGCCCTCACTAATTTAACTATGCTTATGCACTTAGATATAAGCCACAACAAAATTGACCGATTTCACTTACAAACATTTGCTCCTGTTGTTGATTCCCTAAAAACTATCAACTTTAGCGGGAATAATTTGCCACTAAACGAAATTGCAATTGTTCTACAAATATTACCGGAAATTCATGGTGTGGGCTTAGCCAACTTATCTCTATATGAAATACCACCAAACTTTTTCACTTACAATGAACATCTTGTTGCGCTAGATATATCATGGAACAAGATGACAGTATTCCCATATAAGTTACTTACGAAGACAAAATTTTTACAACGACTGGATATATCTAAGAACAAACTTCACACGCTCAACGAAGAAGACCTTCAGAGACTAGAAGCGATTGCTCATATTGATTTGTCAAAAAATCACTGGCGCTGTGATCAATGCTCTGCAGGTACGATGTTAGTTTTTATGGCTACCACAGTTTTGAACGCAACAATTCGTCGTCTGAAATGCCATTCCCCGTTGAGATTACATGGCGTGACATTTGGAGAGCTAGCATTCGATAGTTTGGAACTTTGTGCGACTACACATGAAGCGCAAATGAGCGTGATAGCTGGGTTAATGTTATTATGCGTGGCAATATTGGCTGTAGTGACAACTGCTTTATGTTGCTCAAGACGTAGAGCAGCTCATTATTATACTAATGAAGAAAAACGGCGGGAGCATGAACACGACCATCCCGAGGAATTACTTGGAAGGTCTGAGTTAGGGAGCGTTGCTACTATTCACGCACCCTACTTGGTAAAGGGGAGCTAACATCGCGCTCCGACACCGCCGGTGTCGAGGCGATCACACTTCATGCCCTCTAGCCACCCGTCGGCCTCCTCCACTCTTGATTCGACTCCCCTACGATACCTTTCAACGAATTTGCTGCATGTGTCTAAAGAGATCATATGATACGAAGATGATCTTGTATAAGAACTATAAACTTTTCAATATTATTAAGCTAATCTTAGAAATCTTAGAATATTTTGAAGACTAGGTATAGATATGTAAATAACTGACAAATATTTTTCTACTGTTAGATTTTTATAATATAGTGTTTTGTCACCTGAAACCAGAGTACAGGATGTATTGTATTTGTAAATTAAGATAGTTGAACAATTACGAATTTCGATAGTTTTGCTTCATAAGAATATTGTAATGTAAATAGTAAAAACATAACGTAATAATACATATATATATCTAGTAATACTTCATAGTGCATACTTCTAAAAAGTAAGTCCTGTGTTATGTAATAATATTTATTTTCGGGAAAAATTCTATTGTAAATAAATATTTTCTGATATGTTGATTCGTAAATGGCTCACATGAAATGTGGGTGACCAGTAAATAAATTCAAAACAAAAATAAGAGTAATATAAAATAATAAATTTTGGCAAAATATTTATTATAAAGATAAAAAGAAAAAAGTAGTGTTTCTTGTGAATGAATTCTTCTGTAACGTCTATGATTTTTATATATTAAACTAAGGTTAATTTGAGTAAGATATATATCTGTAAGTAAGATTATTTCAACCACGTGAAAGATTTCAACCAATCTAATTTCATTTAAAGTTTGCTAAATTGTAAATAATAAATGAATACCAAAATTGGAATAAGTTTGAAAACAGCAACCAGTGCCGGCTGTTTTTATAAGGTAAGGTATATAATATTATAAGTGTAAACAAGAATGACCTTCTTTTTGCTCACATTCATATATATTACTTTATAAACATATTATGTGCATGCTCGAGTTAAGTAGTATTGTAAGAGGCAAGGTGCCAAACTGTACATTAGTGCGCTCGCAGTACTTGACTTGAGATCATAAGGGATATGTATATTTCATTAGGTATATTAGATGCTATCTTAAATTGTAACTTTGTAAAATAACAATTTCATACATATTCGTTTTCCTTGAAAGTCTCACATTCGTAAGTTTTTCCATTTACACGTTACTTGGCGAACTTTTTAAATTAAGATCAATTGATACAAATTTTTTCTACCGCACTGCCAAATTATTTATAATTTTTATTATTTTCAAAGTTATTTTATGGGTAAATGAAAAAAATTTGGTATACTGTAAAAACATACCATTCGCAGTGTCGGCAGTTAACATGTGTGTTTTTTTTGTAGATTAGTAAATTTACTAGGCTAAGATCAATAAAAACGTAATATTGTGTTTTGGAAGGCTTTCATCAATGCTGGCAAATGAATTGGAAATTATCAAATGAATGCGAACAAATACTAAGAGTAGTTTTTGTAAATTAGTATTGTTTAATATATATTTTATTTAAATAGACTTATGTTGTTTGTTGGCGTAAAGTTATTGTAATTATAGTTAAAGATTAAAAAATATCGCTGAAAGCATTTTCTGTCATATAGTAATGAATTAAAATAAAAGTAAATTTTTATTTTGCCAGTATTAAAATATATTTGGATGTTTTAATTTTCATAGCTTAGAATATTGAAGGTAATCAGAACTACGGCACATCACGTCAACAACACGTAAGTATCATTACGCGCAGTGCCCAACTTTTGCACTCACTTACCTTGATACGAGCTTACTAAGTGCCGTAACGTTTTTTCTGCTAGCTTTTTGCTACCTGATACTATACTGGTATATTATTTTAATCAATTAACAGCTGTAATATGATTATATTTTTATATTTTTTTTTTGAAATATAACGAAATTATCGTAGAAGTAGTGAACATACACCGCGTGCCTTTTCGTGATTTAACTGCGGATGCTGCGTGAGGCTTTCAATTACATTATATCACGTCATGGGCTTTTATATGTTTATTTATCTTCCCATAATCTTTTGGTTCTTTTAAAATATAGATTATCTCATATATATGAGAAACGAATCTCATATCCATACTTTCTGACAGTTCTTGTTACTATGATAATATAGAAAGACGGCACTCTGGCTTGATTGTTTCAAATATATGCGCAGTCAGAGTGTGATATTTTGAAATATACTCTATATTAAATATAACATAATAAAGAAAAAAATATGTTATCACATAGCGTAATTATAAGTAATAATAAATCATCAGCACCCTTGGCGTAGTAACAAAAATTAGTAGGATTCAAATAAATATATTAAAAGGTAATATATAAAGGTAAGGTATTTACTTTAGTAATAAAAAAATCTAGATAAGTTCTAAATATAAGCTATTACTTTATCAAAGGTTTCATACTATTGTATGAATTTCGCAGTAGCTGGAGTCGATAATAAGTTTAAGCTATGATATTAATTTTCTTAACGAATTAATTTATTAGATTAGTGTAATCAGCTATTTTGCTATATGTTTTAAGAGCTTTTAAGCTCATTTATTAACTTCACAGGAATATTTTTCGTTCAAGTAACTAAGTACAATAGCAATATATGTTTAAAAATCGTATGAATCTAATTTTCCTCTAATTGATAACTAATATCACATTTAATTTACTTTGGTATTACTATACATATATTTTCGGAAATTCTATCTTATTACGATTATAAAAATGTATACTTCTTATTTCAAATAAAATTTCATTATTTCAATATTCATTTAGAATTTGATTTTTTTTTGAAATTCAATGATTTGATTCAAATGATTTGAAATTCATTTTGTCAACAAAGTAATAACTTATAACCCTACGCTATTGGTGCTTTTAAATTAGTTTAGTTGTTATGTTAATAGGATTATTCTGCCGTCATAAGAAAGAAGGCCGTAACATCTTCAAACTTGATTTCGAGATATTTGAAGTTTTGTCTTACTACTTCGTCGAAAATTACTTCTAGTTCTGACGTAGTCACGATTATAATGCTTTAGGTATCTCCTGATTCATAAGACTTAGAGGTTTATGAGTAAACTGCCAAGTAGCGTTTTTTCTTGCTGATTGCGGATCTGCATATAAGTCATTTTTGACCAAATTGTTAGTTACGGCCTTCTTTCTTATGCCAGTATTACTTCCTTAAGTATAATAATTTAAATTTAGTAAAGTTTTAGTTAAGTTAATCATTATAAAGTATAATATATTATTTAAAAATTGAGTTTATAGCTTTATAAAAGTATTTTCTATAGTAATAAGATGCTATTTTATTTCTTTTATTTCTCTTGAAATAAATTTTCTTCAGTCAGTATGTTTTCAACGAATATAACATTATTTGTCAATTAATACGATAAATATAGTTGTTTATTTCTGTAAATATTTAACAATTCAAACTTTATTATAATGCATGTTTGACAGTAATTTATAGTAGGTATATAGTTTATGTAGATAGCTTCTCCGTGTGGTGGCCGGAATTAGAATAGCACCAACGCAGTCACACAGCGTGTCGTAAAAGGCGACTAAATGACCATACAGCCCTGTAACACTACAATTTTTATAATTTCCATTATAAAATGAGAATATTTCATTTATTTAATCCCTCCACGACCGCGGACACGCCGGGGTGTCAGTCAACAACAGATTTCTTAGAATCTTAATTAATTTCTTAGACATTTACCTGGAAGTGTTAATATACTATTGATTTATTGATGTCTCCCAAAATGTTAGTACTCTCGTTTAGTTCCATAAAATTCAAATTATAATTTATCCGTTCGAGTACCTACTATAACGTAATATGTATAAACTAAATACATATTGTATTGGAAAACGTATTTTAATATTTTGTTTTTACTTAAAATTGTAATGTTATTGGGCTGTTTAGATGTAATAATAGTTATATAATAAGTATAGAGATTATAATATAGCATTGACTGCCTTGGTGGTGTAGTGGCTAGCATGTACGGCTGCACATCCGGAGGTCCTGGGTTCAAATCCCGGGCCGGGCCAAGTTTAGTTATTGAATCTTTCTGCTTAAAAAGTCTCAATAACAGCCCGGAGTTGAGAAATTGGCGGTGTTTCACCCCCGTGCCTCGGAGAGCACGTAAAGCCGTCGGTAGAGTAATGCGCAGGGCATTACTCTCACTGGTCGTGTCGAGTAGTCGTCCCACCGGAGTATGAGAGTGATAGGAATAGAGAGTGCACTTGTGTCTGCGCGTACACTTGTGTACTTTTCCTGCGCAGATGGATAGTCTCAATAATATTGGCCGCCGTGGCCAAAATTGGTCGAGAGGATATTATTATTTATATAATAAGTAGATATGTAAGATTATTATATAAGGTGAGCAGCGATAAGGGATTTCTTAGTGTTTACAACTTATTTTTTTTAATGTTAATACCTTTAAAAATATTGTGAGTCTGCATTCCAGAAAAGCCTTTAATTTTCTATGAATATAAGCTTAAAAGTGAACATAAATAAAAGTGCATCCGAAATAAAGCTATTACGATAAGATCAAAAATAATTTGTTTTTCCAATAGCGTTTCAGGTAACATGCAAGAAAGTGATTAGTCTCTTTACTTATTGCTTCCGTCCTAAGTCTTTATTTAACGCGATGATTACGTCAAACATATTTAATTTATTGGATTTTTATGCGATTTAAAACATTTGTTAGATTACAATTTTTTATAAATTTTTGTGCTGGACAGACTCACGACATTTTTATCTTCTCATCAAATTTCGTATTTCTTAGATTGGTACTGATTAACTATAACTTCTATGGTTATATTTCAGTTATTTATGATGATTTTGATTTTGATGCGATCTCGAATATGTTCTATAAAAAAAAAATATTTTCCCTTACCTATTAATTAATAAATTTAATTTATTTAATTTTCGTAAAAAAATCAATAGTATATAAACCTACTCCTAAGCATATGCAGAGATAAATGGATATGGG